AGGAGCGTCACTCCATTTTAACCTCGTCTAGAGGTTTTTCATCTGATTCATGTGATACTGTTATTCAATTATTTAATGTATTTAATTCACATTCGAATTAAAATATTAAAGATTCAAATACTTGTTGTTTGATCATTGATATATTTTTTCTTGACAACGAAGGAGAACAAAAAAGGGAAGAGAGAGACGAGGACTTTCAACGTAATTTGAAGTTTTGCTTGAGTTTAATGTAAAACTTCATGAAAACGGAGAATTTCGAAATAGTTTCAATAACAAAAAAGCAAAAGTTCAATGTGTCTTAGTGTCTTGGAGAAGAAAAAAAAACTCGAAACTAATTGAAGCAAAATGTTCTCAGAAATGTTTAAGAGAAACCACAAAAATCGTAATACGGTGATAATTGATTGTACAGTGACATTTACAGTTGAACCAGTTCCATCAGTTCCAACAGTTTCACCAGTTTCATCGGATTCACCGACAATTTTCAGTCTACACTCTAAGTGTCACTTCAAGATCTTCGATTGGTTATCACTTGAAGATGTGAACAAGTTTGGTGAGACGTGTTCCATGGCGCAAAAAATTGCCGGTAAATATTTTCGGCAAAATTACGCAGCAGCACAAATTATCGGTCTGCACGACGGCATTTTGATTGAAGGAAAGCACAGCAAAATGAATGGCTTCAGCCGCTTCATACAGGGTATTTCAATTAGGTCTCGCTGTAATGGCACGGATTCTGATGACGTATTGAAAAAGCTTCATTATATAGCGTCAAACTGTGATTCACTCCAAAAAATTGAGTTGATTAGTGTTTCATTGGATGTGGACCAAGTTATGTGTATTGTAAAAATCATATCGAAAATTAAAACATTGGCGATGAATGAGACGTTGATCTTTTCCTTTCACTGGGAATACTTTTTAAAATATTGTGCCGATCTCCAAAGTTTGTCAGTGATATTGGATTCAAACTGTGAGCATTTGTGGCTTTTGCATCGATACCCAAAACTCCAACATCTCGAACTGACGGCCGACAAATATGGATTTGTGATCGATGAGCTGCGGTCATTTTTCGATCAAAATCCGAATATTGAACGTTTTTCAACCACCGCAACATATTTCTCCTGCAATCGCATCGCATTTAAAAATGCAAAACTCGATGAATTGGCTATTCAAATTGAAGATACGTACAAAATCAATCTGATATCGTTGGCAATTATCTTAAATGATTTCCATCAACAGGGCATTTACAAGCGATTGTATTTGCGAACCACAAAATTTGAGAAGAAAAATCCAATTTATGGATTCATTCAGTCATTACATGCACTGGAAGTGTTGTGCGTATCAAACGATGATAAGAAAATTGTGTTACCGCCATTGGATAATCTGAAGGGACTGCACATCCTTAACGAGGACATGATCCGGGTGAAAGACATCAAAACTATTGCAACACAATTTACTAGTCTCGAATGCATCGAGTTTTATACGGCCACTTCCACTGCCATTCTTCCATTTATTCAACGATCAACGAAGTTGTGCAAGGTAAAAGTCACCAAACTTGAGTCGGGAACACATTTCCACGGAAATATTCTTAATGTTGGTGAATTGAATAGGGAAAGAAAAAAAGTGGATGAAGCGCAGAAAGTCACCATTTATGTTGAAGAAAAAATTTATCTCGCTACGAAATGGACAGAAAATCGAACGAATTTCAAATTAATTGAAATAAAACGAAACGACACAGATGATGTGAATCAATATTTTCGTAAGAAAATGTCGGGAGGAGAAAAATTTAACAAATAGGAT